AAAACTTGGACCATTCACCAAAATGATATCCACCTGAATGTTTCTCAATGCATTAAACGCTATGTATAAATTTCGAATTTTGACCATAATTCGGCCATTTCTGGCCATTCGCCGATTATCTCAAAAGAAAATACATCTATGAACCGTGCGGAACATGTCCATACCAATTAGAATGGGCTACGCCACTTATCTTCCAAAATAATTCCTTTTGAGTTTAGAAACCCATTTATTCTCGGTATAAGTTATATAACATACATGTATATTACAGACAAAAAAAACTTATACAGTATGCTGGTTGTCTAGACACTACCGGTCCCATCGTGTCATAACAATCTAGTTAAGTTTATACATATCTGGTCTGTTTGACCACAATGTTAAAGCGGTGACACTTTTTTTATAAAGATATAAAAATTACTTTATTTCAATTAAACAACAAAATCACAATAAAAATATAATGTTTATTATAAAAACTCCATAACAATAATAATTAACAAAACAATTATCACTTAAAGTATATTATCATGAATCCAGTCCATGAAGTATATGAGATTAGTGTAGACTCCGGGCAAACCTTTAACAGCGCAGGGAATGCCAAACGAGACGACCCCTATTTGGTACGTACGGTCGCCTTTGGTCTGCACCAGCGGACCACCAGAATCACCCTAATTATAATATCAATGTACATTATAATTTGCTACCAATCGCAATCAAATCACTGTTATATCAATACAGTGTATGTACATAATGTACATACCATACAAGAATCTTGGCCTCCCTGAGTGCCGCCGGAGCAGACATGCTTCTCCTCGATGGGCATATACTGGCGGTAATTCACACTACACTTATGCCGGTCCCAAATAGGCATCACAATCTTCTGGAGCCACTCGGGGCTCGTCTTGTCCTCACCCAACTGTCCCCAACCGGCCAACTCGGCCGACCCGTACGGATCCATACTGTCCACCGGCAGGCATATGGCGTTCGCGAGATACTGGCCGTAGTTGTTGACCGAATAGCGGAGCGGCGTCTTCAGCCGGATCAGCGATATGTCGTTCATCTGTTTGGCTTTGTCCCAACCCCTATGCACTATGAACTTCTCGGCCTGCGCTACCTGGCCGTTTGGCTCGTTCCACATGTTAACGCCCGCCTTTACGATCACGTTGTGTTCCTGACCCACCAAACTATGCAAACATAAATTGCATGTCATTTATTACTACTTTATAAACTAGTTTTTAATAACTATATTTGTTTAGATAGTTTGCCAAAAAAACATGATAAGACATTATGAGAGATACAGTACAAGCGAATACATACGTGTCAGTACAGTGAGCGGCGGTCAGTATATAGTACTGGTTAAGTATAGCGCCGCCGCAAAAATGCTTAACCGGTTTGCCTTCCCGTCGGAACTGTAGGGACACCAGCCATGGAAACTCGTGGGGCTCCGCGTCTTCACCTACAGGTGTGCCACAAACACGACAACAATTTTTTAAAAACAAACAAGGTACAAATACAGTAGTAACAATAAAATAATCCATGTAATATTAAATTGTATTGACTAACCGCCGACAATCCTTCCCATACCAACGGTGCCCAAAAGCGATGATTTGCGGCCGTCATTATACCTGAGACCGCAATGAGCCGGCGATATGCTATCAAACATACCGCTAAACGATTTGACAGCTTTATTGCCTGAAGACTTGCTACGACTACCGCCACCTCCGGCGCCGCCACGAGAAGCCTTGCCTGCGGACGAATAGACGCGTACAGCCGACGGCGATGACTCGTCACCGCTGGGCGGGGACTTCCGGCGATGGGAATGCCGGCGATGAGACTCTTCGGGTTCGGCCTCGGGTTCGGACGACTCCCGGCGATGGGAATGCTTGCGATGAGACTCGGGTTCGGCTTCGGGTTCGGCCGACTCCCGGCGTTGAGGCTCTTCGGGTTCGGACGACTCCCGACGAAAGCCCTGTTCGCACTCCCGGACACATTGAGGCACATAAAAGCAGAGGTGATTGCAGTCGTTGATGGCGTGCGTGTACTTCACCGACAACTGGCCGTTAATTAATGTTAGACATTGAAAGCAAACAATTATTGCCACTAATGGCCGTAATATAAGCCACATATTTCCTAATCAATTCACAGACATATGGTTTGCGAAATTGTTTTTCATTTTGTTTTTTTATTATTAAAAACATTGCGTTTAATTAAGTTTTAATTAATTTTTAATTGAAAGTTTTGTAACTTTATTTTGTAAGAATCAATAAGTTTTAGCTATTGTTTCATTGAATTAATATACAAAAGTTGTAGTATTTTTAACTATACAATTCATTGAGTTATAATAGACTATAATAAAACAATTTTAACAAATAATTACAATTAAATTTACGCCATATTTATTAATCATGGTAAATTATTAGGCAATTGAAGTTTTACACAGTTTAGTTGACACAACCACTTATTTCAATGAGATAAATAACTTGCTTAACAACAGATCTAAACTTATAACAAAACATGATCATTAAAAAAAAACACCCAGGTGTTATAATAACGCGGTGAA